GCTGACTTCTCCATATAGGCGAGGCTCTTTTTGCTTCCTGCCAAATTGCTGATCAGAGAGTTTGTACAAATTTACACATACACACACACACACACACACACAGAGCATTATATCATACTAGTATACACTGTTTTGTAATCTGTTTTTCTTAATCTATAAAATATCATAAATATCTTTTCATGTCAGTAAATATCCATCTACAACTTTTATTACTGGCTGAATAAATATTCCATTTTATTTATAAGGTATTTTTAAGCATTTTAATAACTGCATTTAACCAGTCTTGTGTTGTTGGATATTTAGGTTGTTCTCAATTTTTGTTATTATAATCACTGCAAAAAGCAGCATGTCCATGTATTTCCTTAGAATGTGCGTGAAAAATTATTTCCTTAGGCTATGTTTCGTTAAAAGGACTTTGTGAACCAATAAACATTCATCCACACCATTATCCTCTGCCTTTTCTTCTGTTACTATATATATTTTTTTTAATTTTTATTTATTGATTTGAGAAAGAGAGAGAAACAGCAATTTGTTGTTCCACTCATTTATACATTCATTGGTTGATCCTCATATGTGCCCTGACAGGGAATTGAACCTACAACCTTGATGTATTGGAGGCTCTAATAACTAAGCTACTTGACCAGAGCTTATCATATATTTTAAATTTATATTATGTAAATTTAATTCAAATTTAGGATATATTTTTATAGTGCTCATCGGTCATGTAATTCATTAGCTTACAAACAATTTTAGTTTCCCTTTCCATCTGTTGGTTCTAGTTACATAATAGGGTGTTGACTAGAACTTTTCCTATGACTTGGGTCCAAAACCAAGAATTAGGAAGTGTTATATACCTGATATTCTAAGAAAGCTGCCAGCAATTGGGGCCTAGCTCTTCCCTTAGGGCAGTGGTCGGCAAACTCATTAGTCAACAGAGCCAAATATCAACAGTATGATTGACATTTCTTTTGAGAGCCAAATTTTTAAAAAATTAAACTTCTTCTAATGCCACTTCTTCAAAATAGACTCGCCCAGGCCGTGGTATTTTGTGGAAGAGCCACACTCAAGGGGCCAAAGAGCCGCATGTAGCTCGCAAGCTGCAGTTTGCCAATCACGGCCTTCTGGCATTCTAAAAAGCAGTTGAACTAGACAGTGCCATCCCCGCCAACACCTCACCCTCACATTTCCCAGCCACCTAAGAATGCTGGGGCAGGCAGTGGCAGTGTCAGCAGCTTTGGGATACCAGTGTTTGTGATGTAAGACTGTGCACTCTTCCACCAATGGGAGAGGAGGCGTCCCCTCCTTCCCAAACCAAGTGAGGAGAGGATGCCAATAGAATCACTCATGGAGACTGGACAGGGAGAATAGACATCTCTATCCTTAAATGATGCTTGTTTTGACACAGAAATGTGCAGGACATTCACTCCTGCTGAAAGTGGTCTCTCTCTGAGTAGTCTGAGATAACATTATATGTGCCCCTGGGAGTTCAGAAGTATAAGTAAACAGAGAGACTGGTAGAGTAACCTTTGCTCGTAGGCATTTAGACACTGTGGTGTCATGTACCTTGGAAAAGTGGTGTATCTCCACCTTTGGACCAGTCAGAGAAAGTACAAAAAAACTCCATTCATTCTTGCCACTCCATATCAAGGGGAATGGAAACCAGAAGAAAAGACAAGCTATGAGAAACAGAGCCAACTGGTCAACCTGAACTCCTGAATAACTGCAGAGTATAGACAGCTACCTATCTTCTACCTCCTGACTATATTTAACCTATTATTTTAACAAAAATTGAGAACAACCTAAATATCCAACAACACAAGACTGGTTAAATGCAGTTATTAAAATGCAAAAGAAATTTCTATTTTATTAAAGCCCATATGTTTTGGGGTTTCCCTGTTCAGCAGCTTATCCTGCACCTTAACCAACACAATCATCAAAAAGAATATCTTCCTTCCTACCTCTTATTCCTGTTCTTCACATCAGAAAGCTAGATCTGGGAGTGGGAGGAGCAGGGAGTGTGTATCTCAGGTTGACGGCACCCAACCCCACCCATATATACATCAAGATTGAGATACAAGCCTAGCCTCTGATATGGGGAAAGACAAAGCGCTTTAGGCGGAGTTGGAGATTAAACATACTAAACTAGATTGCATGATTAATACCTCAAAAGAACTGGAAGGGAATGAAATCTATTCATGATATCATTAAGATTATGATAAGAAGGGAAGAATTTCAGAATCCAGTTGATAGAATGACTAGAGGAAAATAAATACAACTTCATATTTCAACTTGTCTCTGTTGAGATTCCTCACAGATAGCTATAATTAAAACCCTCAGAATATATTTGTGGGTTTAGAAAGCCCTGCCTGCAATTTATTCTCATTCCTTTCTAATCAAATCAATCTCCAGAAATCTAGATGGAAGTTGACTTCCCCACTTCCCAGTATTGTTTTATGTCTTCACCTTCTCATTAAAACTCACACTCTCCCCGCTTATATCGCAGTCATCTGGTCACTGCCTCCCATTCTCTCACACCCATCATTCTGTTCTCTTTGCCAATTTCTCTTTTTTGCTCTTCTGACTCTCCAAGCAACTTTTTTCATATTCTTCTCTCTCCCTGAGTTAGCATTCCCCCCCACCCCAACCCTGTTGCCACATCCACCTGAGACAGCCATGCCAACCCAAGGATAATGGATTGAGTAACAATCCCCCATCCCCAAGTTCACATCCACATGGAACTGAAAACTGTGACCTTATTTGAAAATTAGGGGCATAAAATTCGTGCATGGGTAGGGTCCCTAAGCCTGGCTGGTAATCAGAGCCAATTAGGGCCATTCAGCTGCCGGCCTGGGCCACCCTTTGTTCTGCACTGCCCCCTGTTGGTCATTACATGTCATAGCGAGCAATTGGTCTCCTGGTCAAACTCCCTTGGGGACAATTTGCATATTAGACCTTTATATAGACAGATAGGTTCTTTGCAAATATAATTGACAACTAGAGGCCCAGTGCATGGATTGCAAGAGGGCACAGGCCAGGCCGAGGGACCCCACTGGTGCATGATCAGAGCCATTGAAAAGAAAAATATCACATGGTATCACTTATTTGTGGAATCTAATAAACAAAACAAATTGACCAACAAAATAAAACCCAGAGCATGGAGGCATGGAACAGACTGACATACCTCGATGTGGGGTTGGTGGGAGAAGAGATTAAACCAAAGAACTTATATACTTACATGCATAGCCTATGGACATGGGCAATAAAGTAGTAAGAGATGGGAGGAGGGGAGGAAGGGGAAGATGGGAGATATCTGTAATACTATCAACAATAAAAATATATTTAATAAATAAAGGAAGAATGGATACTGGTGACAACTAAAAATCTCTGTCACCATTTTTTAATTTATCTGTATAGTTATCTATTATGGAATGAAGTGTGTCCTCTCCAAAATTTATATGTTGAACCTCTAACCCCCTGGTTCCTTAGAATCTATATTAGTAAAAGGATAATATGCTAATTAGACTGGATAGATTGGACGTCTTCTGGACATCCTTCTGGATAAAGCCATGGTGGTGGGGGGCCAAGGCAGAGGCAGTTAGGGACAATCAGGCTGGCAGGGGAGAGCAGTTAGGGATGATCAGGCCAGAAGGGGAGAGCAGATAGGGAGGATCAGGCAGGCAGGCAGAGGTGGTTAGGGGTGATCAGGCAGACAGGCAATTAGGCTCCCAGGGGAGAACAGTTAGGGGCATCAGGCAGGCAGAGGGGTTAGGGTAATATGCTAATTAGACCAGGCATCATTCCAGATATCCTTCCAGACAAAGCCAGGCTGGAGCAAAGCCCAGTTCCCAGGTGCCCGGTGGTGGCAGCTGGAGCAAAGTAACCCGGGTCCCGGGGCCCAGAAGGAAGCCAATGTTGGCAGCTGGGGGAAGAAAGGCTTACTCTTGCATAAATTTTCATGCATCAGACCTCTAGTATAGCTATAGTAGGGAATAGAGACTTTAAAGAGGTAATTAAGGTTAAGTGAGGTCATAAGAGTAGAGACCTTTCTGTTTAAAATGTCTCTTTTGTCAGCTTTGAAGCATTCTCCAAAATTCTAAAGCACCAAAATGTCCTATGCAATTAACAGTTAAAAATAATTTTGGCTCTGCATTTTTTTGGCAAGCAGGTAAATCCATGTCTTTAGCCTCAACAGCCTATGACTAAGGCTATTGTTCCCTTTATATACACAAACTCCTGCATATCTGTGTAGCTAGGTCAAAAATATAACAAATGATTTTTCGGATGTGATGAAAAAGGGTGCCTTTATTTTCCATAACTGGTATAATTTTTTTCAAGTTCTAAAGTTGAATAGAAAGATAAAGTTCACCCAGAACCAATGAGCATGCACAGGGCACCTCAAGGCCCACTGCATACTGTTGTGAGGTTGACTCATTCTATGCTACCAGGAAGTTCTATAAACTCCTGCTCACACACAATGCATTTGGCAGAGTCTAGAAGAGGAAAGATCCTTGAATGACTGAGCATTTACTCAAATGAGACTGTTTTGATTTGTAACACAATGGCTAAACCAGAGGAGACTGAGTTATCTGTCATCACAACGAGCAGGTTTGAGCACCATCTCAGCCCCCAGCCTATTCCCCAACTCAATTAAATCATGGCTGTTGTTAAGCCTTTTCTTTTTAAAAAAAAATATATTTTTATTAATTTCAGAGAGGAAGGGAGAGAGAAACATTAACCATGAGAGAATCATTGATCAGATGCCTCCTACACAACCCCTACTGAAGATCAAGTCTGCAACCCCTGCATGTGCCTTGATTAGGAATCGAACCGTGACCTCTTGGCTTATAGGTCGATGCTCAACCACTGAGCCACGTCAGCCGGATGTGAAGTCTTTCTTGAACATTTGCCAGCACCATCTAGACAATAACTTAATACCAGGGTTTCATAGGACCCATGTTTATGATGGTTAGGTTTCCTGGTCTATTTTTTAAAAATTATTTTTAAGTTTTCACATCCTTGTTTTCAGTGATTAATGTTAATTTCACATTAAAAGCTGCTCTAATGTTAGCCCAAAAAAGTCCATGTTTGCTCTTCTCCTTCGGCCATTCCAAATAAGTTCGTTGTGCCATGAGGGCCTTCAGCTTGTGATACTTGCTAGGAATGCTGTTCTGTGGAATGGGGTCCAGCAAGATCAGAATTAAGTTATCAGATCCTTCATGAAAGAGATTGTGGTGGGCAAAGTAGAGTTCATAGTGGCACCACTCGCTCTGAACAAAGTTGGGGGACAAAACAAAGATGGACTTGTAACTTTTCTCAATGCAGTTGATGATATTTTCCACAATGCTCTTGCCAGGCACAAAGTTTCTCTCATGGAGACAAATCCGTATATCTTCTTTCTCTAGGCAAGGCACCAATTCATTCTTCACCCAGGCAGAATCGTGTTCACTGTATGAAATAAAGGCATGGAACTGAAGAGTTCTTTGGAGTTCGTGTAAAGGTATGTTCCTGGCCCTGTGCCGGGTCTGGGTCCACTGACACACCATCCTGAGATACCAGGGCAGGTCGAAATAGATGCAGAGGGCAGTCACAGTGACAGCCAACACCAGCCCAGTGACCCCAATGGTGACAATCAGCAGAACTATGTTGCAGGATAATGGAGACACATGGAAGTCCTTCAGTAGGGTTCCCTTATGGCTGTCTGGATAGTCACACTTATATGAGTCAGGCCAGCCCTCTACCACTTCACTGGAAACTTGGCCTATACTTTGGATAAATTCCCTTAGCTCACATGTGCATTGGAATGGGTTGTTTCCTGCGCTGATGGACCTGATCTTCTGGCAGCTCTGGAAGAAATGAGCTGATGGGTTGGAAATGGAATTATAGTCAGTGACCAGTACAGAGAGGCTGCTGAGGGAATCACATTCAGGAAGGTGGGCTAAAGAATTGGCAGCAACATTGAGTTCTTGCAAAGCTTCCAGACCGAGGACATTTTCAGGGATGCTTGTTATTCTATTACTATGAAGGTCAAGAACCTTGAGCCTGGGAGGTAGACATCTGAAAACAGTGTCAGTGAGTATATTTGAAGACAAATTTAACACCCCTATACTCTCAGCCCAAGTGCAATTTCTGTCGCGTCCATCATATTCTAAGGAATTCCCGCTCACATCCAGCATTTTCAAAGATGGCATATCCTTAGTCATGAGACCTACTTTGAAAAGGTCTTTTAATTTATTCTTTTGTAAGATCAGTGTCTCCAATCTAACTAAAGTGGAGCATTCTTGGAAAATACTATCTGTAAAAACGTTCTGGGTAAAGTTTAAAAACTTAAATGTGCTTGTTGCTTGAGGACAAAGCATGTGTATAAAAGGCGTATCTGATATGGTTAACATCATAATGTTCATCTCAGCAAGCACAGTGTATAATACTGTCTGTGAAAAAAGAAAAACTCTGTTTGTAACATGTTCAACTTTCAGCCCTTTCAAAGACGTTTCAGAATATGTAAAATCTTCTTTACCAATATTTTCAACTACTGTTAAATTGTAGATATTGAGAAATTCTACAGGTTTGGGCCAAAGGAATTGAAAAACTCTAACCAAACATTTCCAAGTTGTTTCCACATTGTTGAGGGTAATATTTAATAGGTTTGGACCTCTAGTTAGTTCTAATAAAAATGTAATTAAAATGTGACAGTTCCAATCCCTCAGTTTAACATTACTCAGTTGTAAACACCCTAGATTACTAACTGATATGTTTGTTTGGACAGAGAAGAAATTATTTGGGTGAAAAACGAGGTGAAGTGTTTTTGTATTCAGAATTTGAAGACTTTCTGTCTCATGTTCTTTCACATAATAACCTTCCAACTCCAGAAGGATGCCACTTAGATGTAAGTGAGCAATCGGTAGCAGATCTAATGGCTGTAAATGTTTAGCACTTAATCCCAAGAAATTCAGTTGAGTCATGTTGCCAAATTCCTCACAGATGGGCAGGGCACTGAAGTCATTGAATGAGAGGTCTAAATGTTTGAGGCTCGTGATAGCATGGCAGGATATCTTCTGCAGCTGATTGTGTGACAAATCCAAATATTCCAAATCCTGGTTGAACTTGAAAATACTAATATTGAGGTACTGGAGTCTATTATGAGAAAGCCTCAGAACTCTGAGCCCTGAAAGAAAGCTGATGTCGGAGAGGTGAAGCTCGGATATGTAGTTTTGAGACAGATCTAAGTCTATGGTTTTGGGTGGCAGGTCTTTTGGAACATGAGTAAGGCCTTTGTTTGACTTATTTACTACAAATTCGCTTCCAGCAGAGAACTGGATTATGGTTCCAACTATTAAGGTTATCAGGCAAACAAAGTGAAAGCTCCTGACCATGGGTTCTTTGTCCTTGGTCATGATGTTGAAGTGGGATCCCCCAAAGGGCCTCTGCTGTTCTTCAGAGCATCTTGATATGCATCCAAATCCTAGAAATATAATATACATTAAGATATATAAAGAGTGGGTAATTGCTCTCAAACCTCTACTTACTAAACACAGTCATTGTGTGATGAAGAAGTGTAGGATAGTGGCTGGCAGAAGGTAGTGGCTGATCCACTCACATCAGTGCCATTGGGTAATGACCTGGTTACTACTCATCCTTGGTATTTGAATGAGAGACAAACACAAAGGGACAAAATGTGTTCATACCGTTTGTCATGGAGTCTGTTTTCCTGAGACAAAACTTGAATACACTGAATTTTCCTTAATACACCTCAGTTACTTTTTCATGAATGTAGATGCTTTTGGATCCTGCCATTAATTTTCTATCTCTTTTAGTTTTAGGTGGCAAGGTGGGTTTTCAAGTGTTTATGTGTTTTCATGGGTATTTTGGTGCTCAATTGGGAGAGGCTGAAAGGGAAGTGGGTAAGGGACTTTTAACCATATGCCATTAAAAAAATTTTTTTTAAGTATAATTAGCTTTTTTTAAAAACTGGGCAAAAAGTACTCATACTACTTCTAGTCAACATAATATACTGGGAGTCCTAGCCAGAGTAATTAGGCAATAAAAAGAAACAAAAAACATCCAAATTGGGAAGGAAAATTCAAATTATCTCTGTTTGTAGATGATATGAACTTATATGTAGAGAATCCTAAAGACTCCACACACACACAAAAAAACTAATAAACAAATTCAGTCAAGTAGCAGGATACAAAATCAATTGGGTTTTTATATACTAACAACAAACTACCTGGAAAATAAATAAGCAAAATAATTAGATTTACAATTTCATCAAAAGAATAAAATATCTCAGAATAAATTTCACCAGGAAGGTAAAAGACCTCTACACTGAAAAGATAAGACATTGATGAAAGAAATTGAAGGCAAATAAATGAGAAGCTATCCTGCATTCGTGGATCAGAAGAAACAATATTGTTAAAATGTCCATACTACCCAAAGCTATCTATACATGCAATGCAATAGCTATCAAAATTTCAACGATATGTTTCACAGAAATAGGAAAAAAATTTAAAAACTCATACGGGACCACAAAAGACCCTAAATAGCCAAGCAATTCTGAGATAGAACAAAGCTGAAGGCATCACACTTCCTGGTTTCAAACTACATTACAAAGCTATCATAATCAGCACAGTATAGTGTTAAAAACAGACACACAGACGAATGGAACAGGAGCGAGAGCCCAGAAAGAAATCCAGGCACAAACTAATATTTGACAAGGGAGTAAAAAATACTTAATGGGGAAATGGCAGTCTCTTCAATCAATGGTGTTGGAAAAACTGTATATATACATGCTAAAGAATGAAATTTGACCCCTATCTTATCCCACTCACAAAAATTTACTCCAAATAAATTAAAAACTTAACTTTTAAGAACTAAAACAAACAAACAAACAAAAACTCCTGCAAAAAAACACAATGTTAGGTTCTTCTAGAAGAAAACCTGACATTGGTCTTGGAAGTAATTTTTTGGATCTGCCAACAAAAGGGAAATTTTTTAATAAGTGGGGCTATATCAAATGAAAAGGCTTCTGCACAGCAAAAGAAACAGTCAACAACATGAAATGTCAGCCTACACATTGGGAGAAAACATTTATGAACCAAAATATCTGATAAGGAGTTAATATCCAACATATATAAGGAACTCATATAATCCAACAGCAAAAAAAGTTAAAACAAAACAAATAATTTAATTTAAAAATGGGCAGGAGACCTAACTAGACTTTTTTTTTTTTTTTTTTTCAAAGAAAGCATACAGCCGAGACTGGTTTGGCTCAATGGATAGAGCGTCGGCCTGTGGACTGAAAGGTCCCAGGTTCGATTCCAGTCAAGGGCATGTACTTGGGTTGCAGGCACATCCCCAGTAGGGGGTGTGCAAGAGGCAGCTGATCGATGATCCTCTCTCATTGATGTTTCTAACTCTCTATCCCTCTCTTCCTCTCTGAAAAAAAAATCAATAAAATATATTAAAAAAAAAAAAAAAAAAAAAAAACAAAGAAAGCATACAAACTACCTCTAACAAGTACATGAAAAGATGTTCAATATGACTAACCATCAAGGGAAATGCAAATTAAAACTGCAATGAGATATCACCTTACACCTGTGAGAAAGGCTGATATAAACAAACAAACAAACAAACAAACAAGAGATCACAAATGGTGGTAAGGATGTGGAGAGAAGGGGCCCCTTGAGCACTCTTGGTGGGAATGTACTAGTAAATTGGTGCAGCCACTATTGAAAATAGTAAAGAGTTTCCTGAAAAAAAAAAAAATTAAAATTAGAACCACCCTATGATCCAGCAATTCCACTTCTTCCTCTCTCTCCCTCTTCCTATTTCTCTGAAATCAACTTTTAAAAAAACATATTAAAAAGAAAACCACATTGTGAATTAGAATTATGAAAGTCAACTGGATGGTGTACACATGCTCCAGCCTCCTCCCCTTACCAAATCCCCAAAATGATGAAAGAAAAGGCACACACATGTAAAAGCGAGAAGGAAAGTTCTTAGGGAAGTGAAACCAAGAGGAATCTCTGAATTCACAAGCAGATTGGACTATGTTAGACAGAATAATAGCGTCTCAGCAATGTTCACATCCTAATTCCAGACTTGCGAATATACTGTTACATGGAAAAAGGGAATTAGCATTCCAGCTGGAATTAAAGTTGCTAATCAGCTGATCTTAAAATAGGGAAAATATCCTGGATTATTTGGATGGGCCCAATGTAATCACAAGAATCCTTGCAAGTGGAAGAGGGAGGCAGAACAAAGAGCTCTCATTTACTACTTACTGGCAGAAATGAAAAATTAGTACTACCTTTCTGAAGGGCAATTTGGTCACATATAATAAAATTTATTTAAAATATTCTTACCCTGCCCTGGCCAGTGTGGTTCAGTTGGTTGGAACATCATCCCTTATACTAAAAGGTTGTGGGTTCGATTCCCAGTCAGAGCACATACCAAGGTGGTGGGTTGGATCCTTGGTCAGGGTGCATACAGTAGGCAATCAATCAATGTTTCTCTCTTTTTCTCCCTTCCTTCTCTCTAAAAAAAAATCAATGAACTTGTCCTCAGATGAGGATTAAAAAAATCATATATATATATATATATATATATATATATATATATATATATATCTGTGTGTGTGTATCCTATATAATCAAGAAGTAATATGTGTGTGTCTGTGAATCCTATATAATCAAGAAGTAATATGCAAATTGACCCTCATTCCATCATGCCATCACAAGATGGCTGCACCCCCAGTGGAGATGGGGTTCCTGTAACAAGCTGTAATGAACGATCAGCAGTGACCTGAGGCTGTGTGGTGCTGGGCTGGGGTGGGGGACCAGAGATTGACCCCCCGCCCAGTGGGGCTTGAAGGCGGACCTCAGGCCATGCCTCCCACTGGGCTGGGAGACCTGAGGGTGCACCAGAGGACCTGAGGCTGCACCCCCTGCCAGCACCGGGCTGGGGGACCTGACGCTGCGCTCCCAGCCCAGCAGGGCTCAACGGGGGTGGGGCCAGGCAGGTCTGGATCTAGCCTAATGGGGATGGGGCTGGCCGGGTTGGGTCTCATGTGATTTCAAGGTGCACGTGGGTGGGCAGAGACTTGAATCTGGGTCCCATGGTGTGCCCCAGACTCTGACAGGAGGAAGATGTTCATGTACATTTTACTAATCTTTAATCTTTGACACTTCTATTATAGAGAAAGGGCAAATAGCCTCAGGTCACTGCTGATCGTTCATTACGGCTTGTTACAGGAACCCCATCTCCACTGGGGGTGCAGCCATCTTGTGATGGCATGATGGAGTGAGGGTCAATTTGCATATTACTTCTTGCTATTAAAATATTTCCTTTAATTAATTCCTTTTAATGTGTACAGATTTTGTGTATATATATATATATATATATATATATATATATGCACAATATTTGTGCATGGGCGGGGGGGGGGGAGGGTAGTCCCCTCAGCACAGCCTGCACCCTCTCCAATCTGGGACATTCCTCTCACAATCCTGGACCACTGGCTCCTGATTGCTCACCTGCCTGTCTGCCTGGTCATCCCTAACTGTCCCCCCACTGCCAGTTTGATCACCCCTCATTACCTCTGAGTGCCAGCCTGATCACCCCTAAGTGCTCCCTGCTGCTGGCCAGGTTGCCCCCAACTTCCCCCTTCCTGTAGGCCTGGTCGCTCCTAAGTGCCCCCCCCCCTCCGCTGGCCTGGTCAACCCTTACTGCCCCCTGCTCACCTGGTTGTCCCCAATTGCTCCCCTCTGCCAGCCTGGTCACTCCTAACTGGCCTGGTCGCCCCACTCACGCTGTCTCAAATATTGCACTTTTGGGAAAAAATAATGTCTACAATATAATGTTAGGTGAATATAAGAATACAAAATTGTATATGTGCTAGGACTCTAATTTTGCAAAACACGAGGAAAACCTGACATATATGCAAAGCCCAGGGGCAAAAAGAATGGGAAGAAATATATCAAATTCTAACAGTAGTTATCTCTGGATTTCTGAATCCTAGATAAAGTTAATTTTCTTTCCTATGCTTTGTATATTTCCAAAATTTCTAATTTTGAACATCTTTTATTGATCACAAAAGATTTGTCTTAAAGTACAGCTAATGTAAAAATAGTTTATATTTAAAGAAACATGCTTGTATTCTTTGTATAAAGAAAGAACTCCTTCCGCACGATACTCGATAATTGACGTTTATGAATGAGAACCTGCCTATAGGTCCCTGTCTGGTGCCTGTGCTCAGGGGCCTGAAACTTAGCCACCACGTGAGAAAATTGATCAGCTGCCCTTACAGCACCCTGCCCCCCAAAGGTAGTATTCCTTCAGGGGCCTTTATACCCTCAAGCAGTTCCAGTGTATACATTTAACAAGCCAGCCAGGA